TACACCTAGGGTTAAGGTGGTGAGCAAAAATGCACCCATTAATATATCCCTGTATAATTAGTTTAGTTGACATTTCTCTGTCCAATTAGGAGATATTTCCTAATTATTTTCTGTATCTATTTCCTAATAAAGCACACATGTAAAGCTATATATATATATTTCTCTTTATAAAGAAGAATATAAGTATCAAAATATTCAATACAAATTTATAAATAAACCCAATCCTAGACATGTATTTATAAAAAAACCCAAGCACTATTTAAACATAGAAACACACCCAAAATCAACCCCAAAATCAACTTTTTGGGTGTGTTTATAAATGGGTTTTGAGTGTGTGTAATGATGGGTTTTGGGTGTGTTTATATGTTTAAATAGTGCTTGGGTTTTTTTATAATTTCAACCCCCATTTTGGGTGTTTTAGTGAAACTCCCAATATTCAAACCATACAATTGTTAGCAGAGTATTAGGTCGTCTCTAAGCTCTAAATCTTCAAGTCATATCCTCAAATTCAAACGCAAATCCTAAATCAAATTCCTTAAATAAAATTCCTCAGATCAAATCCCTTTACCAATTTCCTAAAACAAACTCACATAAAAAACTGAAGGCATTCTATTAACAAAAAAGAAATATTATAATTGCAGGCATTTATATTAAAATAGGGTTTACCCACTTGTTTAGCCAAAAACTAATAATAATTTCAAACGACAACAATTACAACACAATGAAGAAGAAAACGACACGCAGGCAGGCAACACTGGCATTTACTACTTGCAGAGCCACTGTCTTCCACAGCCGCTGATACAACCTACTACGGCGATAGCCCCTGCTGCATCCCAATTCCCCCAACCCTAAAACAAAGCCTTTGGTTTTCATAAAGTTGGAGTCTTTTTCCCAATCCCAGCATAAACTTCGATTTCACTTCTGAGGGTTTTTGAGGAAATGTAAAAATTCAGGGTTTTTGGGCAAAATTAGAAAGTTAGGGTTTTTGAGGCCATATTTATTTCCTTGAAGCAAAACCCTAGGCATGTAATAATTCATTATGGTTTTGTCCCGAAGCCTTGTTCTAGCATAGGGTTGTTTGAGGGCGTTTCATAGCATGGTTTCAGGGCCACTGGTAGGTGACGAAGCGAGCAACAAGGCTTATTCCCGAAAGAACCAGAGCTACTCCAAGAATCCCAATCATGTCCTCCACCACTCGTCGCCTCCCCAGAACATGACGCAAGTCCGTGGCGCGCTGGCGTCGAACGACTCGTCGAGCGACAATGGCTCGCTTCCTGGCCTTGCTGAGCCAGACAATGGACCACGCGGGTATTCAAAGTTCGGGAACATGGTGCGGATTCAGTTGGATTCTTGGTCCAAGGCTGACCTAAGAGAGATTAAGTGGAAGCTGATGAGTGAGCTTGAACAAGTCAGGTGCTTGGTGAAGAATCTTGAAGCTAAGGAGGCTGAGCTTAGTGAGAGGTATGTTCAGTCACAGTTTTCAGCTGATGATGTTATAGATAATGTTAAAACTAAAACTACAATGAGGGTCAATTCGGAGGTGGGTTCTGTAGGACTCCGTGATTCGGGGCCATATCGGGGGTTGAGTGTTTCAGGGCCAGAGGATGATGGTGGAGCTGGTCAGTATATGGAGAAGCAGAAGAGGACGTGGAAGGCAAATCAATGTTCTAGGAATTCGGAGTTTCCTATTGGGAAGGAGAAGTTACCACCTTTAGGGAGTAGCAAGAAGTTGAAATCCAATGGAAGGACAATAGATGAGGGTGGAGTTGGGCCTTGGTTCAGGAAAGGTAAGAATCCGAGTCCATTGTTCAAGAGTTGTAGTACGTTGCTTGACAAGTTGATTAAGCATAAGTTTGGCTGGGTGTTTAAGAAGCCTGTAGATGTGAAGGCGCTTGGGCTTCACGATTACAATACCATTATTAAGAAACCGATGGATTTGGGCACGGTGAAGACTAGGCTGAACGAGAATTGGTATAAGACTCCTGTGGAATTTGCAGAGGAGGTGAGACTTACATTTAATAATGCAATGTTGTATAACCCGAAAGAGCAGGATGCTCATCTTATGGCGGAGCAATTGTTGAAAATGTTTGAAGATCAATGGGCGGCTATAGAGTCCGAGTATAATCTTAATAGGAGAAATGAGATAGGGAATGATTCAAATTTGCCACCACCTGTTTCAAGAAAAATTCAAGCTCCTGCAGCTGCTCCTCCTTTGCCATTGGAGATGAGGACTCTAGATAGAGCAGAATCTACGACAAAGTCTGTTGATCCCAAGTTGAAACCTGTGAGTTCTGGTCATCCAGGTCGACCACCAGTTCCGAAGAAGCCAAAAGCCAGGGACCCCAACAAAAGGGATATGACTTATGCAGAGAAGCAGAGGCTCAGCACAAACCTTCAGACTTTGCCTTCTGAGAAACTAGATACCATTGTCCAGATTATTAAAAAGAGGAATCTAGGGCTTTGTCAGCACGAGGATGAGATTGAGGTGGACATTGAAAGTGTTGATCCTGAAACGCTTTGGGAACTGGATAGGTTCGTGACTAATTACAGAAAAAGCTTGAGCAAAAATAAGAGAAGAACAGAGCTTGCTCCTCAATCAATAGCAGAACCTGGCCATGCCATCCAGGATAAAGTAAGACAATAAATAGTCCCTGCCTTGTTTCTTACTTTCGATTTCTTCTCACTAATAGATGATGTTTAAACTTATCATCTTCGCAGAATGTGGCAACATACACTACAGTGGCAGAAAAAGAAGCCAAAGCAGGTATAAGTTTAACACGTAAGCGTAGTGGTACTTCTATTGAGGTGACTGTTGGATCTGATGACAGTCTAGTTATTAGCACTGTGTCAGTTAAACCGGTTTCATATTTAGCAGTTGAAAACAACAATAGTGCATTTTCCCCAGTTCGAAGAGAAGAGCAAGGAGATAATGTGAGTGGATCAAGTAGTTCTGGCAGTGGATCAGGATCCTCTTCAAGTGGTAATTATCAGTGTTTTTCTGTTATTGTTCACGTAAGGTCTCAGTGCTGTTTAAGATTGTCAATAATATATTTATTGTGTTATATTCTGTGCAGATTCTGACAATGATAGTTCATCTGGATGTGGATCAGATTCAAATCGTTGACCTAGGACCTGAATTGATTTAGTTGAGGTAGGTGGCATTATCTTTGTTAATGAATGTTCTTTTTTTCTTTTTTTGAGTCAAAGTCAGTGTGTTGACTACCGAATAACTTTTGAATCACAGATAGACAATAACTAGGCAATGATAATATGCAATCTTTGCGGTTCCATGATTGCTTAAAATTGGGCTTCTTTGATCTTGGTAACCCATAAAAGGAAACAAGAAAAGTATCTTTTATTTAATAAAAAGGTAACTTGTAAATGTGACAGTTGTCATTGCAGCAATTATGGTTTGTTCTATCTCCACTCTATAAATGGCTGATTTTGAAGACTTAAATGCAAAGATACGTGGCAGAAGAGTTAGGCCTTGTTTGGGATTGCTATTTTTCGCCAAAAACCTACTTCACTTTAAAGTTAAGCAGTTTAAGGTGTTTGGTAAACATAAAATATCCCGTTTATTTTAAAAGCGGTGGCCTTTTGACAACAGCTTTTAAAAGTAATCTTTGGGTTGCTTTTCCAAGCCGCTTTCAAAAGAAATAGAGATGAGCATTTAATGAATTGTTTTACTTATAACAGCACTTTGAAAATATTGTTTACCAAACATGGAGTTGCTTTACTTTACAGCTAATTATTTTTGAAGCACAACAAAAGCAACTCTTTTTAAAAGTGACAACAATCCCAAACTGGCCCTTAGACCTTTGTGCATGTTCTCGTTATAAGTTTTGCGTTTTATTTGGGTCATTGTAATTACTAGGAGACCAAGTTGAATATGTGCTTAAAATGCTTGGAAGATTTATAAAAATTTGGGAGGCTGTTTTCTTCTTCACAATTCTGTGTTTCAGCATACCATCATTACTCTAGCATCCAGTGAGTCTTTCACCTTGTGTGTGTGTGTGTGTGTGCACACTCCTGTAGCAGGAAAACTCTTGATAGTTTAGTTTGAGAGTAATACTTAAGAGTCCCCTCTCTAACAGTCATTTTAAAAGATGGTTAATACTGCTAAATGTTAGTGAATATACTCGGATTCTGAGTTTGCATTACATGAATCCCTTGTAATGTAAGCTTGTCTCACACTGTAGACAGATATCGTGTGTGCTATGTGCATCTTTAAATGCATATGCAAAACCCAATATCGCAGGATAAAATGTTGTGAACGGTATTTATGAGGTTGTTAATGCCGTGGCAATCTTTTAAGATGTTGGATTTTAGTGGATATGCAATTGCAGCAGTTTGTTTACTATGTATTATCAACTTGGGAATGATGTTATTTGTCCTGATTCATAAACGTATTAAGTTTGCAGTAGTTTCCTTAAACTCAAGTGTATGCCATTGACTGATTCTGTACACGCATGAGATATTCAGTCATTCACTAATTATTTTGCTTCAATTATGAAGGCGTCTTATATAAGTTTTTCCCATCTTCTTGACATATCAGAGATTTTTAGAAGTCTTTGTTCAGCCCGGGATACGGTTGGTGTAGATGAGGCATCCAAGTGGTCCATCTTACTGCTGCTCCTGATCAGAGTTCTTCGAAGGTGTAAATTAATGTGGAAAACTTAATTAGCAGTGCTTGTTCCTTATGAACAAATTGTATGAAAAGTAAAAGAACCAAACTATATTATGATGGCAGGAAACAGTTTCTATGACAAATGTGCAAACTGCAAACTAGTTGCTCCTCGTTTCCACCTCAAAATTATATATTAGATTTTTTTTTTTTGGGCTTAAATTCTTTTTCACTCAACAGAGCTGCCATTTTAACTTTGGCGGGGAAGGTTTATTGTGATCACCTGCACATGTTGAATTCAGAGGCCATATCGTTACATGCTCTGCCTAATGAGCTAGTGCTATGGATTGTAGTTATGGTTTTGAAATCACTTCAAATATTCTGTCTAATGTTAATTTCTAGGACAAAAACTTACTGTCATAGGGTTGGTTTCAAACGGAAAACAAGTCGTTTGTTTTATATGGTTGGGTTGTGCTTGTACCTTATCATCTTTTACCTTGCTCTTCTGCACAACAAAATAGAAACAAAAAGAGGGTCAACTTTTGCGTGAAGTTGTGCTTGCTTTGTGGAATGCCGGCCTCCGATGGAAACTCCACATGCAAATGTTCAAACCCCAAGTGCAATGGATCATTGTCCTTTAGCATTTGGAGCGTCAACAGAGACTATCACCCAACCAAGTCAAAAACCATACAAACATATCCATTTGGAGCCAAATGCTTATATTAGTATAAAAGCTTCACTACATTTTCAATCATCCGGACCACCAGACAAAAACATCGGACAACTACTCAAAGTCTCACCAGCATGCTCTGAGGTAGAATGCCGGCTGTTAAAGGGTAGCGGACTGAAATAAACCCACACCCACCCCTGATCATAAAACTGTTTTCATCAATCTATTTCAAGAAGTTGTCTGGTCCTTGGCGTGGTGGCCGGCACCAGAACTGAACAGAAAATTTGCAAACATTTTCTTCAAATCACTTCCGGCAACCATCCAAGCCAAGGTTACTTTACGAAATTACACGGGCATAAAGGTTCTAGGTTACCTTCCAGTAACATTATTTTCAAAACATCCAAGTAACATGCAGAGAATAGAAATGATAAGACTGGAAATCTTCCTTGAATCAGGAGAATACTACTTATTGCCAGATGATGGCGGTCACAAACTATAATCCAAGTCAATGACTAAACAGTAATCAAGTTTTCATTCCTTGAATAAATGAAACATTTTCATTCAAGTTCAAATAGCTTAACCCCTCCCATAGCATGCCACTGGGGATTTTATTGATAAAACGTGTCTATCAGAGCTTACTCCAATAAAAAACAGCAAAGCCGGTGCCCGTGCCGCTGGCAGCACTAAAAATACAACACTACTTGGACAAATGCAAAATTTGGAAGGGTTACTATTGGGATGGGTAGATAACCTCCATCCCCAATGAACTAATAATACATTATACTAATTCTGGTTGGCAAACTTGATACCCTTCTCAATAGATGCTTTGAGCTCAGGCTTTAGGCTTTCCAATCCTTCCTTTTCAAAGTCTGAGAGATTACCCAACCCCAAAACTTCCTCCACACCATTCCTTCCAAGCCTCACCTGAAAACCAATCAAAGGACTCTCAATTACTCATCTTATGAACAGCAAAGAAAAATATAGCATTATCGTGTCCATAATCAACTGGACAAACATAGTACATAAGATTAAAAACTGGCCATTGTACAAGCTTATACATATGAACCATTATGGAGATATTCAACTGACCAAATATGCTATATCTATTTACTGTCAGCAGTCAATGAGTGTGTGTGACAGTGCATGCGTTAAACTCTCATGTAACTTGCATGCAACAGCAATGGTTGAGACATTGAAGGGCGCATCCATCAATGAATAATAATTAGTTACAAGTATATTAAAACCACCATATATTGAAAAGACATCAACAACCAAGAGGGGAGGTGCACACTTGGCAAAGACATTGTTAAATGTCTACAAAAATAATGGCATTTGTAGACATGCCAAGTACCACAATAATACTCAAGTTGAACAGGAACGGAGCATTAACCAGTAAAGCCAAGTCTTGGCGTATTAACGATGTGGAAGAATTAAAAATAGCTTGAGGCAAAACGAAAGTAAAGAACTAACTTTGGTTTATCTCACTAACCTTAGAAGCAAAGAAAGGAAGTTCAGTAACGCTTGATTGCACGAACGAACATTCCACAACATCGGGGACCCCATTAAGTCCCTTCAGACAAGCATCAGCAAAAAGAGCTCCAGCATAGCTGCAAGATAATAGGCAAGTTAGTCCGAGAAAAGCGTAAATTTCTTTTTCTTTATTCCAACAACTGAAAACGAAAATATAAACAAGGAAATCAATGGAGTAATACGAAAAAGGTGAACAATGTGATGGAAGAAGCATTAGTCCTAGAAAAGCATAAATTTCTTTTTCTTTATTCCAACAACTGAAAACGAAAATATAAACAAGGAAATCAATGGCGTAATACGAAAAAGGTGAACAATGTGATGGAAGAAGCATTTAACATCTTGCAACAGCAATGGAACCAAAATGCAGACAAGAAAATCAATTACGAAACGTTTGTGTATAATTTTGTACATGAGCAAATATGTATTTCTAATTGAAAATAGGCACATTCCATGAGGAAATACAAAATCAAGGCATCTACTACAAAACGAAGTGTGCATGCAATGGTTTTATCTGAACACTTACGCCATTGACAATGTTGCAGATCCCTTTCCAGCCTTAGCTTCCACAACTTCCGTTCCTCCATCTTGTGTTCTCTTTGTCAAAGCCTTGATAACATCATGAGGCAAATTTGCTGTTGGGGTAGCCTAAAACATTCAAACAAGCAGCACAAAATTAGCCAACTGTAAGCCAAACCCAACCAAATCACATTCCTCAGGAGCAGCACTGCAATTAAACTCAAACAATCTAATTCAATCAAAAGATTAAAAATTTGAGGGATATGTACCTGAGAAAATAGTGGGAGAATGGTGATGCCAGCATGGCCACCAACGACTGGTACATTAACCTCTGCACACACCAAAAAACATTTTCTTTATTTGCTATTGAACAAAATGAAGGCTTACATTATAACTGAGCTTCTAAAACACATTAAAAAAACGGTAGAAATTGCTAATTACACCTAGCTAAGTTGAGAACATCTTTGACAAAACCCAGAAAGAAAAAACAGAGAAATGATACAAACATAACTAAAAGGAAAGAGCTTTTAGAATAAAAGTGGGTCAATAATGCACATACCAGCAACATTAACATTGGCTTTGCCAGCATAGAAAGTCTTTGCCCTGACCACATCAAGAGTAGTGACACCAAACAACCTCTTCTCGTCGTATTTCCCGGCTTTCTTCAACACCTCGGCCGCAATCGGGACCGTAGAGTTGACTGGGTTGCTAATCATGTTAATCAGTGCCTACCCAAAACAATCACCCAACAACCAAAGTTAAACAAAAATAATAAAAGTAAAACGCAACTCTTTGGGAAACAAAAATTGTAGAAATGAATTACACAGAGGGATACTCACATTGGGGCAGTACTTGGCGATGGCGGCAGTGAGACCCTTGACGATACCGGCATTAATGTTGAAGAGATCGTCTCGGGTCATGCCGGGCTTTCGGGGCACACCGGCGGGTATGATTACGACGTCGGCTCCCTCCAGGGCTTGAGCAAGCTGATCTTCACCGGCGTAACCCTTGACCTAATCATCGCAATCAATCAAATCGTCGAATAAATAAGAAAGTTGAAAACTTTATGATTCAATCGGAGACAAGCGATAGAAGAAGAGAGGGTTTTTAGTACCTCAGATCTGGTGTTGATGTGGCTGACGTCAGCGGCGACGCCGGGGGTTCCGGCGATATCGTAGAGAGAGAGGTGGGAGACAAGAGGGTTGAGCTTCATGAGGAGCGATAAAGGTTGCCCGATGCCGCCGGCGGCGCCGAGAACGGCGACTTTCCGCTCCGGCACGGCCTCGGACGAGTAGCTCCGGCGAGTGACTCGTTGTACGGATCTGACGAGGGACATGGAAGGCCTCATCTTTGTTTTGCTTTGGGATGTCGAAGAGTCTGCTCTTTGCCCTGCTACTCTGCTGCTTAGACAACAAATGCAAAGTGTGATGCGTATGTATTTGTTTGATATTTATGGTTTGTTAGGCCATTTGGAGCTGAACTCAAATTTTCACCCTCTAAAATACAACTATTTATATATCATCCGGATTCAAAATAATTTTTCCTCCAACGTTTGTAGACTCAAAATTTGAGCCCATACCTTTATTAAATTGTTTAAAAATAGTTAAACTCTATTTTTCTATTGTGGTTAATTTTTTTTAAGTTGATTTTTGTTTATAGCTTCATAATTTATTTTTCTGAACATTTTAACCTAAAAAAATTCTAATTTCACTTAAAATTTGATTTTAGTGCATTATTTAATAAATGGGTAGGTATTTATATAATTTGGAATGAGTTTTAAAGTTGAATCTCATGTACATTAATAAATAATATAATTTTGACTATTGGATTTAATTTGGGTCATTGGATATAATTTTTTTTTCCGTTAAAATCAATCTTGGACAATCTGGGCCGTTAGATTAAGCTTACATTTAAAAAACAAATTACAAAAGCATATTAAATGTAGCCGTTGGATCTCAAAGGCTATATGAATTAAGCACGACATGCGGCCAACATTTAAAGGAAGAGGCAGACTTCTCCCGCAAACAGGCCCCACTCAATTTGCACCAGCACGTGGGCTGTTTTGAAGCTTGCTTTTGGGCAAAGTTTGGGCCCACTGAAATTACCAGTCCAGACAATACTTGGACTGGAATTCCACCATACATTTGAGATTTCTCAAATTTTTATCCCCCAAAATACATGGATTGGAGGAGATTTTTGGACTAAAAACTCATAATTTGAGTTTCCATCCTTGGGTTGGAAATGGCCTTAAGGCAGGCAATTGTTGGATACTATTTTAACATCAAGGGTTAATTTGATTTTTTATTTTGTCTGGGTAGTTAAAATTTTTATACTTTGATCTTGTTTCATGGTATATTCTTAGAATATTACATTTTTGCATAAACCTTTGCCTTTTAATTTAATTTAATTTAATTTATATTTTATAACATACTAAACTCACACACGCTACATAGATGTTAGGACTCGAACCCTCAAGGAGGATTTGCTCCAAACCAGC